ACGGCACCGTGGAGAAGGCGCTGCCGCCGGCCCGCCCGGGCCCGCCCAGGGCCTTGTCCGGGGGCGCGCTGCCCGGCGAGGCGCCGTCGCCGCGCTCCTTCTCCTCCTCGCTGCCTCCGCCGTCCAGGCCCCTCGAGGCCTTCTTCACCTCCACGAAGGCGCTGCGCTTGGCCTCGCCCGTCTCCGGGCTGGGCGGCGCGAAGAGGCGGCTGCTCTCCTCCAGGCCGAAGTAGCTGCCCGCCGGCCGGTACTGCTGCTGCGGGGTGCACACCAGGTCCTCCTTGGGCGACGACGGCAAGGGCCGCTCCAGGCGCCCCCTGGCGGCCGCCACCCGCTCCTCGCCCAGCGCCTCGCCCGCCGGGTATTTCCGCTTGGCTTTGCCCGGCGGCCCCTCCGGGCTGCCCTCCGACGGCTCCCGGCTGGCGGGCGAGCCGCTGCGCTCCCGGGAGTTCTCCATGTCCCGCGCCAGGTTGTGGAAGTCCGTGGAAGGCTTGGTGGCGCCGCCGTGGCCCTCCTGCGGGCCACCGTAATGGTGACGAGTCGGGTGGGGGGCGTGGTGGAGGGGCTTGGCGTGGTACTTGGCGACGCTCGGCGGGCCCCCGCCGCCTTCTGGGGCCTTCGGGCTGCTGGCCTTGGTGCTGGCCTCCTCGGCCGCGCTGCTGTCGGCGGCGTGCAGTCTCTTGGGGCAGCGGAAGCGCAGGTGGGCCACGTACGGGAACTCGAACTGGAAGCGCTGGCTGCACTCCAGGCAGGCGTAGGGCGGAGAGCCTGGCGAAGGAGACAGAAGGACCGGCCGGTTAGTCATCTGGCCCACCCAACTCCCGGCAAGGGAGAGCAATATTTGGCAGTGCAAGGGTTAAAGAGGCTCCAGCAGACCACAGGCTTATGAGAAAAATATCCAGTACCTTTCAGAAGAAGCAGCAAAGAGTCCAATAGCACCTTCAGGACTAACAATACTTGTGGCAGGGTAGGAGCTTTGGTGAGTCACTGCTCACTACTTCAGATATTTATTTAGCCCAGTCTAGTCAGAAGGAATGCCAGGGTCGTGAGGCAGAGGCAGGCAATGGCAAACCGCCTCTGAAACTTGCCCTTAAAAACAAGTGTAGTTCGCCACCTAGTGGTGCATAAAGCTATAAGAGTTAGAACTTCTGGCTGCCAGACAATCTTACAATCACCTGGCTATACTACACACAGTGCCATATGATAATTATGTATTCTTCAGATATTAAGAAAGCTGCTATCCTGCCACAAATTGTGTTAGTCTTTAAGGTGCTACTGGACTCTTGCTCTTTTCTACTGCTTCCCCTTGCTCGAAATCCAGTCAAGTCCGACTCTAGGGGTGTGGTGCTCATCTCCGTTTCAAAGCCGAAGAGCCAGCGCTGTCCAAAGACGTTTCGTGGTCATGAGGCCGGCATCACTAAACACCAAGGCGCACGGAACGCTGTTACCTTCCCACCGAAGTGGTCCCTATTTATCTACTTGCAATTTCTTGCTTTCGAACTGCTAGGTTGGCAGGATCTGGAACTAGAGACGGGAGCTCACTCCGTCATGCGGCAACCTGGGTCTCGAACTGCTGAACTACTGACCTTCCACAGTCTGCAGTTCTGCGTCTTAACCACTACTGCTACAGACAGATTAACACGGCTACCCATCTTGATCTCTCTGGGGAAAACAGGGAACCTAAAACCACAACAACTGGATCAGCCTATATCTTGATCTGGGGTTAACAATGTAAAACCCTCCCTTAGCCCAGATACCATCACCTTGTAAGGGTTCTGCTTTCTTAAATCACCTAAGGAGACCAAGCTTGGTTCCTTCATCTGGGAACAGAAGGTCTTATTGGGCCCTGTTCACACGGAGCATTTGCCGCGCTAAAGATACGGATGAGAGGTGGATTTTCTGGGCGCAATCACACCACAACATCTGGGAAGGGTAGTGCACCCGTGGCTAACCCGAGGCTTCGTGCCGAAGATACGGAGTAAAAAACTAGTACTTACGATGTACTAGTTTCCGGAAAACGCGGGACAAGGGCGGGCGTCTGATCGCGTCCCGTCCTAGTCCCGTCGTAAACCGGTTAGGGTTTTTTTAAGTCTTCACAGGATGCACACAAACCATGTGTATGCTCACCTTTTGGTGAGAAAAAAATATTCCCGTTTGCCACGGAAGCGACGTGTGGCGATTGCTGGTGTGATCGCGCCACACCGCTTCTTTGCCACGCTGCAGGATAGCCGTGTGATCGGCACCTCACGCCCTAACCATGGGACCTTGACAGGACGTGTGATCGGGCGGCCGCACATTATTTTGCTCCGGGGCAAACAGCCACGCTCCCCCCCCCCCCTGCATTTTTTGGCCTGTGTGACCGGGGCATTGGGATATCTTTGAGAAATTCAGTCCAAAGATGGGGTCGAGTCACAAGTTACCTACTAATGGCAACCCCCACAAGAGGCTTTTGGGGCAAGTGAGAAGCAGAGGTGGTTGGCCGTTGCCTTCCTCTGCAGAGGCTTCCTTGGTGGTCTCCCTCCACCTACAGACCCTGTTTAGCTTTGAGATCTGACCAGACTGGGCTTTATCATACTACCTTCCCCCCCCCCCCCCTGTGAGAAGTTACCATTGTATTATACTGACCTCTAATGAAGAGTTACAATACGTAAGAGAAGCCCATGCTAGATCAGGCCAGTGGCCCATCCAGTCCAACACTCTGTCACACAGTGGCCAAAACCCAGGTGCCCTCAGGAGGTCCATCCGCAAGGGCCAGAACTCCAGAAGCCAGCCCACTGTTGTTCTCCAAGTACCAAAAATACAGAGCACCACTGCCCCAGACTTCATGCTCCATCTATACCTTGTGGCTAATAGCCACTGATGGACTTCTGCTCCACATGTTTAGCCAATCCCCTCTTGAAGCTGTCTATGCTTGTGGCTGCCACCACTTCCTGTGGCAGTGAATTCCATGCATTAATTATTCTTTCAGAGTAGATCTGCTTAGGACCCCACTGTCTTGTTTCATTCCTATGGGTCCAGCAAGTGAGAGTGTAGCCTGTGTGAATGCACACTGCAAGGCTTGTGTAGGAGAGAGTACTGGTCGATGGTCTGGGAGAGCTGGGGTCGAAAACTCCCACTCTACCATGGAAGTTGCCTGACTGACAACCCAATCCACATCATGGGGTGGGGGTTGGTCCTGGTGGATAAAATGGAGGAGGGAAAATGTGTTGGGTACACACTGGGTAGAGGAGTGGAATGTAAATATCTAAATAAATAGAAACAGAGCTGGAAGCAGGTTTGTAGCTACAGTGGGGCATATTAGGGCTAGGCCCCCTGACTTTCTGGAAAGCCTCCCTGACTTCCTATCCAGCCCAGGGCCCCCAAGCGGTGGCAGGTGCAGGGAAGGAGCCGGGCATTCCTTTAATTCAATGAGCCAGTGCCCCCTAAGAAATTTAAATGCCCCCTGACTTTAAAAAATCCTGCCTACGGGCCTGGCTGGAAGATGCCCCAAAGGTCATCTAGTCCAACACCCTGCACAATGCAGGACATTCGCAGCAACCCCACCCCTGTCCCCTCCTCTGTGTGGAATGGGAAGGCACCTAGAGGCTCTGGGTTCACCAGTGTCACCCAATAATAATAATTATCATATGGAAACGTGTGTGGTAAAGCCAGGAGATCCTAAGGTTGCCTGGCAGCCTTAAGTTCTAGGTCTTTTAGTGGCAAACTAGACTTAATTGGGGGCTGAGAGAGCTCTGAAAAAAATGAGACTGACCCAAGGGCACCCAGTTGGTTTTATGTGGAGGAGTGAAGAACTGAATGAAGTTCTCCAGATCAGCAATACAATGCAAGACAGCAATACATGGGGGCAGTTTTACTGAGTGTTGAATTACTTCAGTCTACTCTTCTCCGACTAGATTTCTGAGCTCCACCTATGGGTCTCATTCATAAAGCAACAGAACAGAGCATGAACTGTTGGGTATTACAAGTTAAAATTACACTCAGTATATCTGGGGTTAAATGTTTGTGTTGCTCGCAGGAAATCACATGTCTCCCATGTAATCAATGTTAGTTTAGGACTACAAGCCCGGGAAAATTCTCCCTGATCTAGGAGTTCCATTGGAAGTAAAGTGTCAAGGTGTTTTAGCATTTTATGGCTCCTCTTCCCGTCTTTGTTTGCTGTTCTCAAGGAGAAAGAAAGAGAAGCCATAGCTCTAGTCTTGCCTTTGTAGTGTAAAGATGTAGGGACTTTAGCTCCGTTGTTATTTTCATCCCAGTTACCCTTCCCTATGCTAGAATGTAGTAAAAACTTTCTATTTTAAACACACATGGACTCTGGGTCTGAATTATTTTACTCTGGCACTGCGAAGCTATTTTTATCTGCTAAAAACACCCAGGAAGTTGCCTTCTGAATCAGAGCATTGGTCCAGCTAGGTCAGTACTGTCTACTCAGACTGGCAGCAGCTCTTGGGGGTCTTAGGCGAGGTCTTTCACATCACATCACAACACAACAGACTTGCAGCGACCCTGTAGGGCAGTGATGGCAAACCTTTTAGAGACCGAGTGCCCAAACTGCGACCCAAAACCCACTTATTTATCGCAAAGTGCCAACACAGCAATTTAACCTGCATACTGAGGTTTTACTTTAGAAACTTTATTTCTACATTAACATAAGATGATCCAAGCAAAGTAAGGAAAGCAATCCCAAATGCTTTCATTTACTTAAAATTATTTGGCAGAGAATTTGACACTTTAATGATGGTCTGGGCCTGGCTGGGGTGATGGGTGATGGCACGCGTGCCCGCAGAGAGGGCTCTGAGGGCCACCTCTGGCCCCCGTGCAATAGGTTCGCCACCACGGCTGTAGGGTTTTCAAGGCAAGAGACATTCAGAGATGCTTTGCCATCGCCCGCCTCTGTGGGGCAACCCTGGACTTCCCTGGTGGTCTCCCAACCCTGCTTCTGATGTGGGGATATCTTGGCTGTACCACCTGATCCTTTTTAACTGGAGATGCAAGGGATCGAAACCGGGGCTGCATGCAAAGCAGATCCTCTCTCGCTGAGCCAGGGGCCCTTCACAAATATTCAGAATGCCCTCAGTGTTAAGATATAACGAAGTGATATTGAATATCAGTCAATGGTGCGACCTCATTTGGAATACTGTGTGCAGTTCTGGTCACCACACCTTAAAAAGGATATTATAACTCTGGGAAAAGTGCAGAAAAGGGCAAATCGAATGATAAAAGGGTTGGAACACTTTCCCTATGAGGAAAGGGTAAAGCGCTTAGGGCTCTTTAGCTTGGAGATACGACGACTGAGGGGTGACATGATCGAGGTTTATAAGATTATGCATGGGATAGAGCAGGTAGAGAAAGAAGTCCTTTTCTCCCTTTCTCACAATACAAGAACTCCTGGGCACTCCATGCAATTGCTGAGCGATCAGGTTAGAACAGATAAAAGGAAGTACTTCTTCACCCAAAGAGTGATTAACACATGGAATTCACTGCCACAGGAGGTGGTGGTGGCTACAAGCATGGACGGCTTCAAAAGGGAATTAGATAAGCATATGGAGCAGAGGTCCATCAGTGGCTATTAGCCACAAGGTTTCGTCTTGGTGCTTGGGGGGGGGGTCAACAGTGGGAGGGCTCCTAGTGTCCTGGCCCCACTGCTGGACCACCTGATGGTACCTGGTATTTCTGGCCACTGTGTGACACAGGGTGTTGGACTGGATGGGCCTTTGGCCTGATCCAACACTGGTGTCTCTTATGTTCTTAGTATGTGCTTCTATTAACCCAAGAGGTGGCCCTTGCCAAAGCCCAATTACTGCGCAATTCTAAAGAGTCACACAACATTGTTTTAGAGGGATGCACCCTTAGTCCAGCATCTTTTGTAGGAATCCTAGCAGCTAACAGGTGCCCGGTGGTCCTCCTGAAAGTGGCCAGTGGATTATGGTGCTCTGGGTATTGATATAGCATCAAATATATGGCACGGGGTGGGGGTGGGGGGAAGTGAAGAAGTATCTGGCTGAAGGATGTTGCATCTGGAAAGCCCATGTAGGTGGGAGGATGGTGTTGGGTGTTACAAGTCAAAACACTTCAGTATTTACAGGGTTAATGATGTTAGTTATGATCACCAGGAAGTCACATGTTTGTTTGTAACCAATCGGTTTAGACAATAGAATGCCCGGGAACTTTGGAGCTAACTTACTAGTCTGATTGGAAACCAATGTGTCAAGTATTTAGCATATTGGCTTCTCCTTCCTGTCTTTGTTCTGACTGAAGAAGGAGACTCCATTCTTCCTGCATTTTACCTGCAACTGTAAGGATGTAGGTCTTTTAGCTCTTTGTTATTTTATATCCTGTGTACCTTTTCCCATGTTAGGTTTATAGTAAACCTTTTATATTTTAAACACACCATGGACTCAGTCTCTTAATACTTACTCTGCTGACTTACTTAAAAGAATCCCAACAGATGGGGAGAGAAGGAAGTGAAGGGAGAAACCTGTAAAAACACTAGGGAGGGGAAAGGAGCCCTCTAGACTCCTTGGAAGAAAATATCTGTTGCTGCTTGTTCTAGGCGTCCTGGCCCGGATGGCGCAGGCTGGCTCGGTCTCTCAGCTCTCAGAAGCTAAGTAGGGTTGGCCCTGGTCAGTATTTACAGGGTTAATGATGTTTGTTAAGTCACATGTTTGTTTGTAACCAATCTGTTTAGACAATAGGAAGCCCGGGGATTTTCTCCCTGATCTAGGGTTTTGATTGGGACTAAAGTGTCAAGGTATATTACCATTTTATGGCTTCTCTTCCCGTTCTTTGTTGTGGCTGAGAAGGAGACGCCATTTGGCTCTTCCCGTTTTTCCGTTTAGCTGCAAGGATGTAGGCATACTAGCTCTTTGTTATTTTATATCCTGTGTACCTTTTCCCCATGTTAGGTCTATAGTAAACTTTTATATTTTCAAACACACCATGGACTCAGTCTCTTAATACTCTGCTGACTTACTCAAAAAGAATCCCAACAAAGGTTATGGGCCCATGGGATGGGAGACTTCCAGCAAGTCCGGGTTCGACCTGCGGAGACAAGCGATGGCGAACCGCCTTTCTCGCCTGGAAAACGCTACCGGCCCCTTGCCGGGAGGCTGCTGCAGCGTGAGGCCTTCTCCACGCCCGCTACTCTTCGAGGCGACTCCCGCCTGCCTCCCAGGGAACCCCTGCCCGGGCTGTGAGGACCTCTGGGGTGCTCGACTCCGTGGGAGCAGCAGCGCGGCTTAAAGGAGGCGCGCTGAGCTCGTGCGGATTCCCGGGGAAAGCGCCTTTGCCTTCTCCCCGAGCCCAGTTCTCCCTCTCCGGAGTTCTTATTGCGCGCTCACACACCACCCCCCAGTGTGTCCAAGAGGGCTCCCAGAGGGTGCCGCGGAGAGCGAGGGGCGGCGTCGCTGGCCGTTCCACACAAGGTCTGCGTCTGGCCGTCCCCTTCCCGAACCACAGGGCCCTCCTGCCCGGCTTCGCTGTCGCTGCTCTCTCCCCCCCCCCCCCTTTTTTTCTCCTCCACTCCCTGACCCGGATGGCCCAGCCTAGCCTGACCCTCTCAGATCTCGGAAGCTAAGCAGCATCGAGCCTGGTTAGTATCTGGATGGGAGACCACCAAGGAGCACCGCTGCGGCGAGGCGGGCAAGGGAAAGCCACCTCTGAATCGTCCCTTGCCTCGACAGGCCTACGGGGTCGCCCTAAGGCGCCTTCCCCCACCCCCATCACCTCCGAGGTGGGTCTCCGCCGGCCCCCTCGGGCAGCCGGACCTACCGTTCATCTTGGCGTGCGCCCTGGCCGGGCTCAGCAGGAGCAGCTCGCTCAGCTCTTTCCCGTACCAGACCAGCAGCTCCTCGTCTTTGGCGATCCGGCGGAGGGAGCGGTAGAAGAGCTGCCCGTTCTTGATGTAGGCCTCCAGGTTCTGCTCCTCTTTGTCGCGGGCCGACTGGACCAGGCGCAGCCACATCAGGCCTTCCGAGGAGCCGTTGGCCGCCGAGGTGTCCACCTGGGAAGACCAGAAGAGCCCGGCCGGTTAGGAAAGGCGAGCGAATCCCGGCCCCGCCCGGAGCCAGCCTCGGCTACAATCGAGCCTCCTGGCTAGCTGTGGATCGAAATAGATCCAGGGGGGTGGCCGTGTTGGTTTGAAGCTGTAGAACAAAGCTGGAGTCCTCCTTTAGGACCAAGAAAGTTTAGTTCTGGGTATGAGCTTTCGTGTGCCTGCGCACTTCCGCAGATACAATGAAATGGAATTGACCAGTCCACGCATATAACGCAGAGACTGAACAGCAAATTAGCAATCAATGTGACGAAGAGAGAGTTGAACAGATACAAGTTAATTACCGCAATTAAGAATGGCGCATTTCCACATCTACCTCCAATTTTGACATCTTTATTTTCTTCACTGTATTACCCCGGAATTAAATCCAAAGAAATGGTGACCATATAAACTTAGCTTGTTATTCCCGTTTGCATCCGTTTAAACATATTCATTATGTTGTATGCTCATTTGCTGTTCAACCTCTGCCTTATATGTATGGACTGGTAGATTCCGTTTCATTGCATCCGAGGAAGTTTGCGTGCACAGGAGAGCTCATACCTTGGATAAAATTTTGTTGTTCTTCAAGACTCAGACTGGACTCAAATTTCGTTCTATTGTTCGAAATGTTATCGTTCTTCATAGTCCGCCTTTTCTCGCAGGGCGCCAAGGCGGATTGCAGGGGAGAGAGTCAATACAATCGACAGGACGGGACATTCAATAAACAAAAGGGGGGAAAGCAAGAGTCCAGTAGCACCTTAAAGACTTAATAAAATTTGTGGCATAAGAAGATACACTTGTGTATCTGAAGAAGTGAGCAGTGACTCACAAAAGCTCGTCCCCTGGGAGAAATTTTGTTAGTCTTTCAGGTGCTCCTGGACTTTTGCTCTTTTCTACTTGTTGGAATTGCAAGTTGCTTACACTTCGGTCATTACAGAGTTAAATGTTGTTTGTTAGGAAACAGGATGTTACCTTACATAATGTATTCTACGGCGGGAAAGTTTGTGGGAGTTGTTTATCCTAATGAAGTGACCTGCGACCTTTGTATTGGTCAACTAACATCTTGTTTGTGGAAATGCTTTGATCTAGCATTAATGTATTCACAAGGTTTATGGCCCTTTGTGTGAACCAAAGCGTTAGTTCTCTTCTTGAAGCCGAGACAGTTAGAAAGATATAGCTGTTAGCATATATTACTGAGAGTAACTGCAAGTATGTAACCTTTTATTTTATTTCTTTTACCCAAAGTACCATACCCATGTTTTATTTTGTTTTTATAGTAAAGATATTTTTCTTTTACTAAGTGTGTGCTCTTGTGTTTACAATCAACCATCGACCCTGAAGCAAAGAATTCCAACACTACTGCTACAGACGGACTAACACGGCTTCCCATCTTGGCCGATCCCAGTAAACAAGGAAACCAGGTTTTGGGTTGTAGAACCAACCTGAAGTCTAAGAAACAGAACGGAAGCAAAGCCTAAACATGAACATACCCCCTGCAAAACACCGCCGGAGGATCCTGGTTTCAGCAGCCTACAGACCCCAAGTAACTTTACAGCGCAACTCTGTGGCCTGCGTAGAAATGCCCTCTTGAATCATTCGGTTTTGCATCGTTTGTAGAAAGCCAGGCGCGTGCGAGCTTTCCTGACCTCTCCGGGCAAGCCGTTCCGAGTGGCAGGGGCAGTTGTCGATCTTGCCCATTTGCAGGTGGGTACCTGCTGAGGACCCCGCGCGCATGAGCCAAGCTGTGGCGGCAAAACGTAGCGGGAAAGGCTGAACTCCTGATCCATTCAAACGAATATGGAGGTTTTTTTGTGCTGGCCGGGACTGGGACCCGTGGCCAAGCGCGGCTCCAATCGACGCCGGCGGCTCCCTGGGAAGGAAATCCCACCGAGTCGCGTGTCTCTGACTGCCAGCAAAGGGGCCTGGGGGGGATCGCGCGCTTAGAAAGCAGAGCAGCCTTCTGCCGGCTTCCTCGCGAGTCACCCCGACTGCGTCAAGCGGGACTTCTCGGTGGGCACGACCCTGGAACCGTTCAGAAAGGCATTCCCAAGTCTGGACTCCAGGCCCACTGCCCCTGGCTTTGCCCTCATATTTCGTAATATCATGTTTTCTTTCCCTCTCACGCTTGGGCTCTGCGTTGGTGAGAAGAAGACCTCTGACGGAATCGAAAACTAGAAATGCGATAGGGATGTTGTGATGAACTGAGCATCACACAGAAGGAAAAGCTCCTTTGATAAATACCCAGAATTAAACTTTTTTTTTAATCTGACACTGTCAATTCCCCCCCCCCCCCCCGTTCTTTCCCCCTGGCCGCTAGTTGGAGAGATGGTGGGCCAGATCCAAACCTGGTGTAAACCAGGACAGATTCGGCATTTGGATATCTGGCCGTTTCCACTCATTCGTAGCATTTCCCTATTTTCAAATCACACCAGTTTGTATCCCGCTGGCTTTTTTTTTTTTTTTGGCTCCCCCTCCCTCCGCCCAGTTGACTAACTTCGATTTACTCCCGAGTGGACTCGGCTTCTCGACTGGCTCCCTAAGCTTAGCCAAACGGCGAGGCTTGGCTTCCGAGCGAACGGGCGTGAAAGCCCGGGCTGGGCGACCCCCGAACCGGCTCCTTCCGGAGCAAGAGAGCCTTCCCGGGCAAGACTCCTTCCCGGGCACTGGACCCGCGGTGGGCCGAGGCGGAGGGGATCCCGGGGGCGGCCGAGGCCTTCTCAGGGGGGGACCTAAAAGCCTGGGTTTTTTTTTTTTTTTTTGAATCCGGCACCTTTTGAGCTTTGCCCCGGAAAGGCGGCGCATCAAGATCCACAGCGCCGCTGGCGGATTGTTTTTAGAAGGGAGAGATGGGGAAGGAGCCGGGAGCCGCCTTAAGCCTCTTTGAAAGCTCTTGGAGCCGCTCCGAAGGGCGAAGCGCCGATTGTGGCCTCTCGGACCGGAGTCGGCTTCGGCTAATACCCCAAGAGGAAACCGGGCCTTTCGGCAGGGTCCGCCGAGCAGGCTGCGCCGCCTCCAGCGCTTTGTGGGAGGAGGTCTTCGTCGCCGGCTCCCCCGGCCTCTCTCTCCCAGGAGACGGCTCCTCTCTCCCGGGACCCAAGGCCGGGGGTCTGCCTGCCTGCCTCCCAGCGCGGCCACCGTCTGTTTCAGGCGGTCCAGTCAAGCCACGCGGCCAGAGCAGCTGCGCCGGGAGAAACCCACCTTTCGGCAGGAACCGGCTCCGTTTCCACACACACCCTCGCGCAAATTCCGAACGTCTGACTGGGAGAGGTCGCGCTTGAGGAACGCGCCGGGAAATCCCGACGCCCGATTGAGACTCGGATCCCCTTCATAGTTGCTTGGAGCTGAGTCGGATTCGTTCCCTGCGCGGGTCCCTCTTCGAATGTCGCGGCCTTAAAACCAAGCACTTCGGATTCACTCCGACGCCGGAGCGGGTCGGTCTCGGCTTCATGTCCGGAAGAATCGCGTTTGCCTGCGCCGGGGAGCAGCTGAGGGACACCAAATCCCCGCGGTTCGAATAATCCTCCGGATCTTTTTTTTTTTTTGGCTTGGAAGTCTACAAGGGCACAAGGTGGCCCCGGGACCGGCAGCCGGCAAGACTCGACCCGGTCTCCCCGATGCCCACGTGTCGCCCCCCCGCCCCCAGCAAGGAAATCGACTTACAACCAGGTTGGAAGGAAAGAGCCTTTGTTTAAAAATTGCTGGGAAGAGCGAGGAGCCACTCCGGCGCCCGCCCTCCGCAATGTCCAACATCCAGGCCGGCGGCAGGCTTGCTCGTTTCCACTGAAATTGACACGCACCGTCTTACGATCCACGCTCCGTATTGCAGAGACAATAAGAAACAGACACGGCCCGCTCTGTCACGGATCAGCTATGGTAAAATCATTTCGGGGGGTCTGTGGCGTGTCTCTCCGTCTCTCGTTTGTTCTCCGGTCTTCCGATAAAGCGCAAATCCTTCCGTGTAAGCCGGCCAGCGTATTATTGTTTCCCATTTTTATGTGACAAAAACCACCCCCCCCCCCCCCCCCTTTAAGATACAGTTTCTCGGACCTTTTAAATCCCACGGGTTTGGGATGCAGTGAGTGAAGCCTCCCTCCCTCCCTCCCTCCCGGCCCTTGGATTCCAGCAGGGGGCCGGCGATCCCCTTCGGGGCCCTGACTCGAGAGTCGCTGTCCTGCCCGTCGCCGGCCCGGGGGAGCCCGAACCGCGAGCCCGGCGGGGCGTGGGGGTGGGAGAGGAGGGTCTCCTTACCCGGAAGATGTAGGGGACCGTCCTCTTGTCGGTGGACTTGAGGGCGACGAAGGCGATGCTGTCGTAGAGCGAGGTGTGGCTGAGCACGCAGGGCCCGAAGATGGCGTTCTCCGGGATGTCGCAGGTGGTGTAGACGCTGGTGAAGATGTCCGTCAGGCACTGCTGCACCGCCTTGGCCTCGCCCTCCCAGATGCCCCGCGGCACCCCCGACTCCTCCATCCCTGCCGGGGAGAGAGAGAGAGAGACAGAGAGAGACCTCCGTGAGACCCCGGTTGGCCGGCCAGCCAGCCACCGGCCGGAGAAGAGGGGGGAGGAGAGGGGAGCGATCCGGAACGGGTGGGGGTCTGCGCTGGGGAGGCTAAGGCAGAGAGGGAGGGAGGCAGGGGCGCCCCAGAGCGGAGGGTAATAATAATA